GCCAGCCCCTGCAGCGTGCGCCTCCTTTACTTCCACACTGCACCTCTTCTGAGTCTCAGTGTGCTTTTCTCTTTCCTTCTAGTTGTAGAATTTCCACTCGGCAAGCCTTCCTGTGGTTCTGGATGATGTCTGTTTTGTCTTTTAGTTGTATTTTTGAAGTGGTTGTACGAGGCAGCAATTTCCGATGTTTACCTATGCCGCCATCTTGGTTTCTCCTCCACAACTGTTATTAATTTCCTTCGAGACGGGTTTATTTTTAAATAGGTAAGATAGCTGTGTACTGGTTTATTCTCATAATATACTTGTTTCCTGTAGTGTATACTGTATATAGTAAAGGAAGTGTTACTATAGCTTCCTCATTGTATGATATAGTAGGTTAGATTATTGAGAACAGATATTCATACTTGTATAAACTTTCCTTTTGATAGCACCGTTGGTACAAGTTGTTCTCCATTGGATGGGCTGTCCCTGCAGTATTCTGAAGAGAATGGCATTGTGGACTGGAGGAGCCAAAGCTGCACTATGATTCAGCACCCGGAGCACTGTGCGGCCTTAGCTGACCAGGTATTTATGAGGGCTTTGTTTTGTCTTCATGCCATACGGTTAAAGCATTGCTACTCAGTAAGAATTGAGTTCTGTAAGCATTATTAGGTCAGTGAGTATATCTGGTAAGAATGACTGAAGGAATGTTTGTGTTAGACTTCAAATTTAATTGGTTTATATGATCTAAGCTCTTATGAGACCTGAAAAAGTTTATTTAGATTACTTTTATTGCTCAAAAAATTAATACATTTTAATATGATGCCTAAAACATTGATTCTAACTAGTGATACATTGTATTGTTATACCAATTTTTTTGCTTCTGAAAGAATTCACATTTCTGTCACTATATTGCTACTGGTGATGTGACTGTTGAAACTGACCTCCCCTCATGAGTAGTTGGGCCAGTTGCTGGGCCTCCTGAGTATAATGAGGACATACTCCCTTAGGGTATGGTAGGATCAGAAAGCACAGGGCTTTCAAGAGTGTTCAGGTACTATGGCACCCCAGGTGCAGGGAGAGTGCTTGCTGTTGTAGTCCTGGAGAGGACCACTTTTTCTCTAAAGAATAGATTTGTTAACCAGATTTTCATTTTTGGACAATACTCAGATTCAAATGTTAACCTTTACTGGAATATTTTTTTTTATGAACTAAAGCATTAAAGCATATTTTGAGAAAGTGTATGTTATCTTAATCCAGCGGTTCTCAACCAGTGGCTCACGACCTCTTTGGTGGTCGAACGACCCTTTCACAGGGGTCACCTACGATCATCCTGCATATCAGATATTTACATTACAATTCATAACAGTAGCAACATTACAGTTATGAAATAGCAACGAAAATAATTTTATGGTTGGGTCACAACATGAGGAACTATATTTAAAGGGCCAGAAGGTTCAGAACCACTGTCTTAATCATACTTACTTTATGGCCTGTTTTCAGAGTATATTGTTTAAACTTGTTCTGCCTTCACTTCAGTGCCTGTACACCTTTTCTTGTTAGTTGACAAAGTCGTGTATCGCAGTTTTACCAACCTGAACTTTAAGAAAATACTAAGTAAACCTATAGCAAGTACAGTCACTTGATTGTGTTTTATGTAGTCAAAAAAATTCAAGTCCATTTTTAAAGCAAAATACTAAATAGATATTTTTCTTCTCATGATTAACAATATTAAGTATTTGTCGGGGATTATAAAAATTTTAGTGGTTCTGGTAGGTAACTTCAAAAATAAGTTGAAAAATAAAAATCTATTAGAATATACAACTGGGAATGTATCATTTTAATCTTGATAGCAGAATAAGAGGATACCTTCCAAAGTGAGGTGTTAACTTTAGTCTGATTTCTTTCTGTTCTCTCCACTAGCATTCAAGTGAAAAACGAAGCTTATCTTCAATAAATAAGAAGAAAGGAAAGTCACAAGTAGAAAAGTAAGTTCAATTTAATGTTTCCAGTAATAGAAATTGGTAAGAAAGGGCAACATACAGCATTTGATTATGGGCACATTTAATTTATGTAGTATAAGTAGTATCTTTCCATTAGTTTTCTTTATATTTTTACCTCTAGGCTTTATTTTTTAGTGCAGAATAATCAACATATGCAAGTGATAAAAATAAAGCTCTTGTCAAATATTATATTTAGTTTGGAGGGGCAAAACTCTCAGAACCGTACATCGAATCTTGCTTTTAGAGTATACCTTACTAAAAAAAGTTTTAATTATAAAAATGAGGGGAATTTTAGGAATACTACTGTTCTTAATGTGTTCTCTGCAGAACCTTATAAAACTGTTGGTAACTTGTATATTTTTGGTTTAGAGAGAAAATTAAGAAAACTGACAACAGATTGAATAGTAGAATAAATGGTATTAGACTCACCACGCCTCAGCATTCCCAGGGTGGTTCTGTGAAAGGTAAGAATGTACTTATTTCAAATACCCATCGCCGAAATGTCTTTAGTATTATACCTTTTGTAGTGGGAATTGAGCTGTTATGTCAAATCCTGACATGCTTTTATCCTGCGTCGATGTGAATAGCAGTGTCTGAATTAAACAGTTCTGAAGTATTAATTAATGGCATTAATGTAGGAAATATGACTTGTCATGGAGTTTACTACAGTTCTGCTGACCCAGCTCTTCTCTCCTCTGCTGCCAGCAGCCTCCTCACGTGTTACCGTCTCAAGCTGGTCCCTGCTCCAGAGGAGAGGTCCAGGAGACCTGGCAGGCCTTTCCCACCCTCCTGGCAACTGGGACCCATTCTTATAGAAAGTCATTTTTAGAATCTATTCACTTTTTCATGTTTAATAACTGTCCTGAGAGTTTATGGTACTTTAGAGGAATTTAGACCCTCATTCTTATTGTACTAGATTTGTGTGGTTTTCGTTTACACATTGTTATTTTAAGGTCCCTTTATTTTTGGGTGAAAGGTTATGTGTTCATTTGACTGAGAGATGTCCCATCTGCTGGTTCATTGATAATTTTTCTGTGTTAGTTTACCTTTACTATTAATAGTAAAGATAAAAAGGAATATAAGCCCACAGACTACTAAGAGAATGTTTTGTGCATTTGTGTACCTAATACTGGACTGATCGCACAAATAAGGATTTAAAATTGAGGTGTTATTCAAATGTTACTACATTAAGGTGTGATGCAACATAAATAACCAGAATATTTTTAATGGAGTGTTTTTTAACTAGATATTTGTTTAGAAAGATTGAATAAAAGGAATGTGGTTAATTTTGACTATAAAATTATCAGACCAACTCATTGAATGAATTAACTGAGCTGTCTTTGTGGTGGTGGGGGGGAGGGGGGGAGGAATAGCATGGGGAAAAAAACCCATGTTGTTTAGGAGTATATTTTAACATTTTGATGTTTCCTGTGGTGATGGCAGCTAAAAGGAGGAGGAAAAAGCTAAAATAAGACAAAAGGTCTCTGCCAATGGATGATTGGAAATAGCTTTTGCCAGGTCTCCCTGTCTGTTCTTGCCTCCTTCAAGTTTTTTTTCTACACTGCCACCATTTTGTCTTCTAAAGCATATACAATAAATCAGGTCATTTTCCAGTTAAAACTCTTGTCAAATACAGGGGTGGGCAAAAGGAGATTTACAGTTGTTTGTATGGAAAAATAATAAGTAAACAATACAAGAAAAACTGTTTTACTCACAACTGTAAACCTACTTTTGTCCCACCCTCACAAGATCACTCTCATTTGTCTCACATAATTTGGGAACTGGTGCTTACCAAAGAAGTTTGTGACACTTCTCTCCTTTTTAGCTTCATATTTTCAGAGGAGAAATGTGTGGATTTTAATCTCAGACAGATATGCGTTTGAATCTTGTACTCCACCGCTTTCTTAAATGCGTGGCCTCTCTGAAGCCTTAGTTTTCTCATTTGTAAAACAGGAATAATGCCTACCTTACCAGATTGTACAAAATTTATTGTGAAAGCATTTCGCTAGCACCGAGTACATGGGTGTTCAATAATTTAGTTCCTTTTCACTAGTCTAAGGTAAAAGAAAACACATGCTATAAAGTTTATTAAGAACTTTTTAATAATATCTCAAGTTTCAATTTCTTTCTCTGTTTTCAAATATTATGAAAGTACAACTTCAGGATGTTTAAGATAAACCTTATTCTGTCTGTTTTATCTTGTATATACATGTCACTGATTCATATATACTTACAGTTATAGAGCATGATTATAAATAAAATATACTTTGTACAACTTGTCTCATTGATGTCAAATGTAGCTCAGATGTTTGCTGTCTCCAACTTATGAAAAACTCTTGTTTATTTCTCCTTAAAATATTAAGGTATTAAGGAATTACCTAAAGCATTCAGTGAACTCATGATATATTTTGATTTCTTTTTTTATGGAACAATCATGCATATCATAAAATGTGGATACTAGACTGAAACTGAAAATATTGGGTCCTTCTGATTTGTATGTTACTCAGATCTTTAAATAATCCAGTCTAGTTTAAGATAAGTATTATTTGTTTTTAATTTAAAATTTTAACTTTTATTTTGAGTAATAATACATTAATGTAGTTTGACGTTCTAAAGGTACAAAAAGGAACAAACCCCTCACAGTTCCCCTCCATGTTGCTGCCTCCCCAAAAGCTCTCAGTGCTGTTCATCATCAGTATTCTTTACAGTGTTTTTGCTTTAAAACTTCATGCATTAATTCTCTCTGCTGAAAAGATGTATGATTTACCTTGTCTACACTATTAAGAACTCTGTTACAGTGTATCACCCGTGTTTCTTCCACCCTGCTCTTCTGTTGCTGATTGCGGCACCAAAAAGCTTGGGGAGAATGAGGTGGTTGACTTCTCAATTTCTTTTAAAAGGCTTTAGTGATTTAAATGTCTCTGACTTTATTTAATTGTGGTTCTGATGTACCTAAACAGTTAAGTGTAATTTCTGTTTGTTCATATATACTAATAGCCAGGATTTTTATTGTTAGAATAGTGGCTAATGTAAGTTTTTGCTTTTTGTCTTCTTGCATGATCTTTTACCCTGTGAGACATGATAATAAATAAAGAAGTTTATATCTCTATTTATAAGGGCGATTTGTGGAATATCCTTTGGCATATCCTCACCTTCACACCTTCTGACTCTAGGGTATCACATAATTTCTCATAAAAATTTCAAAGACTCTACACAATTTCTAAGAACCTTTGAGATGCTCAAAAAGAGAAAATTATGTTTAGTGTAGATTTATGTATTTCGTTCTTTGAAAACTACAGATTAATATGTGATAATTTGGTGAGTTGAATGTTTACTAGCTGTATAATCTAAAGAAAATAATTTTTAAAATCGTGTCATTTTGAGAAATGGCTGCATTAAAAGCACACATGCACACACATTCTGTAGTTTCACTGTCTGAGTTTTAGTGAGCAAATCTCAGCTCACCTGATCCCACTGGTTTCCTTTTTAGCCTGTCATTTTTGGTTTGAGACTGTCATGTTGAATCTTTGATTCTCTTAATCCTTAAATTGTTAATTTTGTTATATGCTGGTTGAAATATTTATATGCAGAAGTTCCATATGTGCCACAGTTTTAGAGTTTTCAATTTTGTTAGTCCAATTTAATGCCAGGTTTTGGCCATTACGGTACATAAATTTGTCTCCGGGTAGCCATTGGTGTTGATGTGCATCCCTTGGTCACAGTGTGACTGGTAATTCAAAACCTATTATTGTACACTAGAGGCCTGGTGCACAACATTCGTGCACTGAGGGGGAGGGGGGGGAGGGGCCTTTAGCCTGGCCTGCGCCCTCTTGCAGTCCGGGACCCCTTGGGGGATTTCCACCTGCCGCCACTGCGCTCAACAGCTGTGAGCCTGGCTTCTGGCTGAGCGGCACTCCCCCTGTGGGAGCACACTGGCCACCAGGGGGCAGCTCCTGTGTTGAGCGTCTGCCCCCTGGTGGTCAGTGCATGTCATAGCAACTGGTCATTCTGCCTTTTGGTTGATTTGCATATTAGCCTTTTTTTTTATATAGGATAAGTATACTCCAGATAACTTTTCTGTAAAATCATTACTTGCCCAATAACTCCTCAGCCACTTACAGCCTCATGAGATTTTGTTCAGTTTTTCCGTGGTAGTTTGGCATTTTATTACTCAAAAGGAATTAGCAATATTTAATGACTTTATTGTTATTCAGTATTTATTCACTATTGTAGTTGGGCTAGGCTAGGTCATCTTTTAACAATTGCTGCAAATTTAGTCCATTCAAAAGGCACAGCTTAGTCAACTAACTTGGTCATCACAGACCATATCTTTTCTCTAACACATATTTTGTCCAAGTGATTAATAGTTATTACCTTTCATTGGTTTTACCAAGTTGCCATGGAAATAATTCACTCATCTATAGTTCTAAAAGATCCCTCTGAAATCCCTCTTATGGGGATTTATGCACTAAACTATTCACTAAGCAAGTTGAATGCTGTTGCAAGGTAGGAACTATGGATTTACAGAAATGAATAGGACAAAATTAGAGGCAGTGCAGGAATGTACAATACTAGGTATACCAATAATCTTGCCTCTGTATTCAAAAGAGGTGTAGCTAATTGATCATGACAGCTTTTGCACTTCACTCCCAACACTGCCTCTGTGTCACCTTGGCTTCTAGGCAGAACTCAAAAGAGCTTCTCAGTCCACTAGATAGGATTTTACTCCTTTTTAATACTCAGGCATAGTAATTTTAACTGAATGGGGATTTTTGGCAGCCAGTTCTATTCTTGAGGTCTTTTAAGGAATGAATGTCCAACAAGTTCTGAGAAGTTAAAATATTTAGACTTTGAAAATGGCCCAGTATGCTGTTGTTATTGGACAAGACCCTACAAAGAACCTTAACTCTGATTTTTTTAAAGTCAATAAGATTGACATTTTCCTCTGCCTTTGTTGTTTTAAGAATGTATTTATAAATTATTTTCAATTAAAATTGTGATTTAATAGTGAATTTTTACCTAGGTTAGATACCAGCTTTTTAGGTAATTGTAGGAAAACTGAAACAAAAACAAAAAATTACAGATGTAACTTATTTCTACTGGTTCAATTCAGAATTTAATTTACTTAACATGATTTTTAAAAATAGAATTATTATTTTTAGATGCGAATTTGGACATTGGATCTGGACATGACACATGTGGAGAAACATCTTCAGAGAGTTACAGTTCTCCCTCTAGCCCACGACATGATGGAAGAGAGAGTTTTGAAAGTGAAGAAGAAAAAGACAGAGGTTTGCTCTTTGGAGTGAACATGGGGGTAGTGGAGGGTAATACGTGTTGTCTCTTAAAATCAGTCATACATAAGTAATTTTATGTTCTCATAAATATCGTTATTGATTTTTAATTTAATTGGTATAAAGAGTGTATGGACCATTGACTTAGCAGGTCCTGGCAATGTTGATTTTTTTTTTTAACATTTCACTACATATGAAATTAAATAGAAGACAGTCATAACAAAATGTCAGTTAGTGTAGAAAGATTAAAAACTTATATGTTATTGGATGCACATATATATTTATAATTTTAATATCTTCCTGATGGATTGATGCTTTTATCATTATATAATATCCTTTGTCCCTATAACAATTTTTTCTTAATTTTTATCTTATAGTAAGATAGCCACTTGAGCTCTCTTTGGGGTATTGTTTATAGGGTACCTTTTTTTCCATCCTTTTACTTTAAATCTATTTGTGTCTTTGAATCTCAAGTGTGTCTCTAATAGACAGCATTTAATTGGGTTATGATTTTTTAGCCATTCTGCCTATCTTTGTTATTTGAAGTGCTAAATCTATTTAAATTTACTGTCATTATTGATAACTTATGATTTACACTCTGCCATTTTGGTATTTGTTTTTTGAAAGTTTCTATCTTCAATTCCTCCTTAAACAGAGGCTCAAATATACCCAAAAGTGAAAGCCTTCTTAGATATTTCCTGGGCGAGCATACAGCCCTAGACAGTGAGTGTGACCTTCTAGATTCCTAAGAATATATCAGAAGTGTTTCAAAGCTCCCTATGGACATCTCATTCTCCAGTGTTTCTTAAATTTTTCCTTTTGTTAGCCCTAACTGGTAATGCTGCCTCAGGTAGCCAAGTTGTTAAGTAGTTCCTG